TTTCCAGCACTACCCAGAGGGTTCGAAAGGCAGGTTAGACTTGATTTCTTCCCTCAAGGAGCATGTAATCTTTCTGGAGAGACAAGATATAAAATGTTGAAATAACTAGAGAGGCAATGTGTTAAATCATATACCATGGAATCTAAGCATAATAGATTCAGTGCAGGAAAATCCACCATAGGCGGGGGTGGTCAGGGAGAACTTCCCGGAAAAGGCAGAACTTGAGTTTCCTCCCAAAGTCATGGCAGAATGGAAGCCAGGGCCAGATCCTGAGTCCCAGTCAAGTGTTGTCTCACTACACAGATTGGTGCCAAAGGGAAGAGTAGATTATACATTAAAATGTCCTTTTCCTTTAAATACACCCAGCTCTTTGAGCTGCTGGATGTAATTCCCAGCAAGCAGAGGCAATCTGTGAATGTTTGTTATCTAATAGGTTCCTTCTTATGTTAGTTGAAATAACCATCACAATATCAGTAAAATCATCAAGGACAAGGCTTCAGAACAACATATTCCTTTCGTGAAAGAGCTATACTTTCTGAGGTAATACTCATTTAAAAAGGGGTATTCTTTTATGTGGCTTTCCCAAGAATGCAGCCTGGCAATTTAAAAGTCCAAGTAGTAAAGCTTCCCCTTTGGAAACCTCCTTTATATCTACCATGTGCACATTCGCCAGGCATAATGTTAAAAATATTGTGACACAAAATTACCGCCCCATCCTTTCAAGTTTGATGCAGCCAGTTTAACGTTCAATATCGCTGTTCGCAGAAATGCTTTTTGATCTGAGGAGATGTGAGACACAGCCATCCCACAGCTGGAATGTAAGGATTCTACAGAAGAGCATGGATTAACTTGAAAGTGCGGTGGAACGGGATGGTCTCATCTCATTAGTGACCAAGAGTTCACAAGAAACTCCCTATTTGTTTCAACACATTGTAAATCTGCGTCCCCAGTGTCAAACTCTGTATCTGGCATAAAGTAAGTACTCAAGAAATAAATACTGAATCAATGAAGAGCTACGATCTTTCATGATCCAGCACTTTATAATGCTTTTAGAATCCGTATTCTAACCATAATCATGTTGATCATGTGCTGTCAGGTGTGTATTAAGCACTTTGTAAATATGATCTTACTTGTTCCATACAAGAATCACGTAGAGGCAGGTATTACTCCTCCCATTTAATAGATGAGGAAACTGAGGTTTAGAGAAGGAAGCAATTTCCCCAAGTTCACACCCAGTTCCACACAATGCCTAAGCTCATGCTGCCACCCTCTGTTTACAATGCCGCTCAACCTTCAGGTGCATCAGGCAGGAATAGAGATAGGGCAAAAGCAGATGATAATAGCAGTATTAATAAAATATAAATATATATTGAGTGCTTATTCTTTTTAAGTGATATATGTATACATATATATATACACTTTATCTCATTTATTTATCATTACAACCATAAGAGGTAAGTTCTATTTACCCTCTTACACAGATGAGTAAACTGAGGCATATATAAGAATTTAAGAAATGCACTTTGGGAGGCTAGAGTGGGAGAGTTGCTTAAAGCCAGCAATTCAAGACCAGCCTGGGCAATAAGGCAGGCCTGCCTCTACAAAAAGAATTTTTAAAAAAATAAATAAATAATAAAAAATTAGCCAGGCATGGTGGCATGTGGCTTGTTGCCCCAGCTCTTCAGGAGGCTGAGGCAAGAGGATCCCTTGAGCTCAGGAGTTTAAGGCTGCAGTAAGCTATGATTGCACCACTGCACTCCATCCTGGGCAACAGAGCAAGTTTTTTTTTTTTTTTTTTCCCCAAAAAAAAAAGCCTGGTGACAGAGTGAGACCCTGTCTCAAAAACAAACAAACAAACAAACAAAAAACAACCACCTTATTTTTACCTATTGTACCTCTACTTAACCAAAATTGGAGTATAAAGGTATAAAAGGCAAACAAGTCTTGTTAACTGACTATTCCAGTTAATGGATTTATCACACATCTGATGATGTCTTGAGCCTTGGCTTACCTTCCTGTGTAAAGAGGAGGTGGGACAAGATAAGGCTGATTCATGGTCCCTGCCAGGAATGCACCTGGATGGCCCTATGATTCCCTCATCGCTCATCACTTCTCGGTGGTACTGAAAGGCAGTTGATACCTGTTTGAATTGTGTCAATCAGAAAAGGCAATGTGCCGAGTTTGTTAATGCCAACCTAAACAACTTCTCAGTTGCTCTGTCAGCGCTGTCAGTACCCTGGGCCTTGTTGTGGAGCAGAAAAAAAAAATGCTTAAGCATGTCTCCCCGACCCTTTCTTTAAAGGTGCTGCAGGGCTGTGGAGCTGGGGTTCTTTCAGTATTAGCTGTCTCAGGAAGCCAGCTTTGTTGTTCACACCTGTCCTGGGCACCTTTGCATAGTCAACAACTGAGTCTCTCTCCCATCAGTCACTCCTTTGGAAACTGCTCTTTCTCCTCTAAAATTAAGCCTTTGAGCTTTTGCTTCTCAACATTTCATACTGATAGTATCAAAAGGGCATTAACTTTCTCAGAAGTGACATATTAAGCTGAAGAATTCCGATGGTGTGATTTCAATGACCTAACTGCATGTCAGTCATGTTGCACGTTGAGATGGCCTCAAGCGGCTCCAACAGGGCAGCAATTGTGCAAGAAGCTGACACTTCCCAGCTTCAGTCATCAGCTTGGGCTTTCTACTCTCTCCCTCTGGTAGGTGAGTCTCATCTTGGCCCCAAATTCACTGGTCGTGGTCCCACATATAGAAGGAGTTAAAGGCAGAGGCACAATTCAGGGGCAGAGGGAGAAAATGGACTGAGTTCCCGTGCCAGGAGTCATGCCAAGCACTTTAAAATTTCTCCTTTTAATCTACATATGTCACCACGAGTAAGAGTGTTTTTATCTTCATTTTATAGATGGGGACAGGGAGGCGACTATTAAATGTTAAAGCTGGGCCTCCAACCCAGATCTGTCAGATTCCAAAAGAAAAATCCTTGGATCTTTTTAAGCTTGATGCTTTCTTATTTTTTTTTAGGACGAAACACTGGAACTCTCCAGAATAAATTGGTACCTGGGTCTCTTCCGAAGTGAGTTGCTCTTAGGAGCTTCAAATGAGGGTCTTTGAAGCCACATGAAAATTGATGACTGGTTGTAATATCCAAGGTACCAAATCAGACACACTTGTAATTGTTCCCAATGCGAGTTTTCACCCCAAAGTTCTCTTCTCTCTCTCCTTCATTTTTCCTGAGTACATGGGGGAGAAAGTCATGATGAGGGGATGATCTGCCTTCCAGTTTAAAATCATAAGAATGGCTTGGAGACTTAAGAGCAGTGACATTCTGGACCATTAACAACCACACTAACTTGCAGCTTCCTCATCTGTTCAATGGGGCTAATGACTCAACGGCTGTCTCTTCAGCCTACTGCAGAATACAGGGATGGTACCTGTGAAGCCCTTTGTAAACTGCAGAGTGCTATGTCTGCTTTTACTGATTCACTCTTTCCATAGATATGGTGTACCTCTTTGTGAAATGTATGGTGTTAGGCTATTTAGTGAAAACCAATGAAGAAAATACAATCTCTTGCCTTAATGTATGCACATTCTTGAATAGAAAAGACATTTACAGAAATAACTGTAAAAGAGTGTAGAAGAGAAGGAAACAGGCACCAGAACAAAGAGAAACACAAGATGCAGGTTGAGGGGGACCTGAGAGTTAAGTGAGGGGATTCAGAAAAATGGAAGAAAGTAGCTTAGTTAAGAGCGGTCTGGAAGATTAAATCTATGGAAGGTGGCAACTATTTCATTAAATTACGCATTCTTTCATCTACTACCAATTTATCGCATGCTTATTATGTACTGGCTACTGTGCAAATTAGTGCGCCAATGTGGAGAGGTGAAATAGGGAATGCTGGCAGGCTGTCCATAGGGCAATGTCCAATGGGAGGCTGGAAATGCAAATCTTGCGTTCAGGAAAAGAGTCAGGGTTGGCCGATAAATTTCAGTCATGCTTATAGAACTGCCTGTTGAACCTATAGGAGCTGATGAGCACACCAGATATGCAGGTGAGATTAGATGGTGAGGGAAGGAGGAGGGACAGGGACAGAAACTTGTGGGGGAATCCATAAATATGAGGTTGAAAGAGGAAGAGAAGTCAGCAAAGCACACTAAAAAGAGTCTCAGAGAGGTGGGAAAAAAGGGTGAAAGTTGCTATGAAAAGGTAACCAGCTGCATCCCATTCTACAAAGTTCACTGGTGACTGAGAAGAAACCACTGGGTTTATCAATTAAGACATTGTTGGGGCTCTATGAGTCAACATACAGCTCTCCCAAGTCCAGGACAAGTTACTATAATCATCTGATTCGTGGCCACTAGTAATCATGATAGAATGCCTGGGTTGGAATTCTAGGCCTGCCACTTACTAGCTACGTGACTAGGACAACTTAACCTTTTTTTTCTGTGCGCCAGTTGGAGACTTACTACTACTTACTACTCATAATAACCATATGAAGTACCATTACTACTTCACATGGTTATTATGAGGATCTGATAAACATCACAATAGCACTTACCCAATAGTACACACACAATAGCACTCACCCACAATGGAACTTAGAACAATTATTGATATATGATCAGCACTCAATATGTGTAAACTATGACATGCAGGCCAATCCACCTAGAAAGGCATATTTTCAAAAGCTCATGGCCTCTGAATTGAGGAAGCACAGATCAGATCAGCCTCTTCAACCCCCGACGAGGCTCCCACTCATGTAAGGCACCCATGGCTTTGTAATGGCACCCAACGCTATGGGCTGGCATGAAAATTGTGTGACTCACGTCATGTGCATCCCCAAGAAGGTGAGGCTATTGCTGCAAAGCTGACCAGTTTGTGGAATGTAAGGACTTTTCATTGATTAGCTTTGGGGAAACCACTGTAACAAGTCTTAAACATCATCACATTTGACTGGTTTGTAAGTTGTGGCAAGTGAACCCAGGTCTAACACTTAGGAACAAGGAAGAAAACAGGAAGATTTTGTTACTTGTAATCACAGCTTTTTACTCCACAGATGTTCTGTGAGTTAGGTTCAAAACATTTAATTCCACTTTTTCCCTCTATGTGGCACCTCGTTTGTTACCAGGGTTTTACAGATGGAGACACATAAATGTGAAATGAATAGTCCAAGACTATCTTCTCCCACTACTCCCAGCCCTACCCTGCAGTGTGTAATTGTGGAGCCATGGACAATGTACCAAGGCAGCAAACATCACTGGCTTGAAGATGACTAGTAGCTGTGGTCAGCTTGCTGGGGACCCAAGCTCCTGAGGGTGCTTAAGAAGTGTGGGAGGACTCCTAAAGCTGTTGTTGAAATCTGTTTAGATTATGGGACTAGGAACCTGAGGAAGCTAAATTTACTTTACAAGTCAACTGGATTAGCACTAAAGTAATTTTCCTTGTGTAAACCCAATTTTAGGTAATGCATGAGCTAAATTTGGAGCAGGGGGCTGAGACACAGATTTCCTGTACTGTCGAGCTCTTGCAGATCTCAGCAGATAACAAAGCTATTATCCTGGCAGAAATGGAAGCATCCTCAAATCCTGTCAGATGGCAGCATGGACAAAAATTACAACCAAATGCATTTTTAAGCTGATGCACTTTCTTAAGTCTGGCTCCTAAAAGCAAAACATGCTCTTCTAGAAGTTTTAGTGAAAACAAGAATGCTGCTGGTAAGGAAATCTCTAGGTGATGCCAGGGACTGACAACAGAGGATTTCTGAGAGAAGAAAGAGACAAGGATTTGGACTAAGTTTCTGAATGGAATCATTGTCCTTTTTGTTTTTCCCTTCTGTCTCCCTGCTTCACCCCCACACCTCTAGAGTTTCTTAGCAGGCATTTTGGAGGAAAAGATTTGGATCAGAAATTCAGAAATTACCTGGGCTCACAAAAATATGGTATGAAAGTATTTTTTAAATGGTTTGAAGTTGAAGGTCTTTACTCCACTGCTCCTAACATAGTCTCTTAATTCCCTACCTACTCTCAGCCCCTCCAGCACCATCCTGCCTTCTGCTTCCAAGATACATGAGCTTTCTGAGGAGCTGGTGAGAATATTGAAACTTCCTGGCCTTGGTTTCCCATCTGGTAAAACGAGGAAGACCAAAGCTTAACCCTCACAAGGAATATGTAGGCAATGAACACTGTATGATTTAAGAGACCCTTGTGATAAATTGAGTACTAACTTTGAAATTACAAACAGAAACAACCCTCCTTAGTTATCCTGTTTTTCGGGCAGGAAGCGAGCAGAAGAAAGATGAGGATGGGAATTCAAAGACTTGCGTTTTAATCTCAGCTGTGATACTTGCCAGCTGCCTGTTCTCAGGGCTCAATGTTCAACTGATCTGAAAGCAAAACCCAGCTCTATACCCGATAGGCTGTGTGACCTTAGAAAAGTTACTTGCTGCCTCTTACCTTCAGATTCCTCATCATCAAATGGAGAAGGAAGTACTTGCCTCTAATGGTCTTCCTTCCCACTTTACAATACATTTATGCACATAAGATCTAGTTTAAAAAGACAATGTGAATAAAAGAATAATTTGATTTTAGAATAGACAAAGGAGAAAAGTGAGTTGCCTTCATTGCTTTGGATATCAGAAGGATTTACCCACCGATTCTAATTGCACTTGTTCATTAACTCCACGAATATTTGATTAAAAGTTATGTTCCTATTGTACATATGGAGAATACCTGGCCTCATGGAACAGATAGTGCTATGTGGTATGGACAAAGACAGGGAGACTGAGTATGCAGAGGAGGTCACGTGACCTTTTACTGGAGGGATATAGCAAAGGCTTCCTAGAGGAAGTGATGTCTAAACTGACAGGGTTAGCTCTGGTCTGAGTTGTATCTGTTGGTAGGGCTAAGTAATAGGACATTTGGAAATCAGAAGTCCCCAAAAGACAACATATTCCTGCCCATCCCACCCTACCATATAACAAAAGGAAGGGAGGAGGGCCTGAATGAGGTAACTCACACCTATAATCCCAGCACTTTGGGAGGCAGAGGTGGGAGGATTGCTTGAGCCCATGAGTTTGAGACCAGCCTGGGCAACAAAGTGAGACCCTGTTCTCTACAAAAAATACATAAATTAGCTGGCATGCTGGTGTGTGTCTGTAGTCCAAGCCATTTGGGAGGCTGATGCACGAGGATTGATTGAGCCTGGGAGGTTGAGGTTGCAGTGAGCTGAGATTGTGATTTTTCAGAAAGGATAAGTAACTTTGCCTACAGGGCTCTTCTATAGCACAAGGAAGATTCTATGTGTGAAGGTGCTATCTAGGCACTGTGCACCAAATTGTAAGTGCAGGAACGGAGCTCAGGGCTTGAGTCAAAAAATGTGATTTGAGCCCAAACTCTGCCACCTGCTCAGATTGCTCAGAAAATACCTTGGAGAAGTTACTTATCCTTTCTAAACCTCATTTTCTTCATTTATAATTCCAGCTACAGCAGCCTCACAAGACTGTGAAGATTAAAATAAATAAGAAATGTATAATTTTTAAGTAAACTTTAATATAAGCTGTTTTCATGCCAATCTTGTGCATTGGAGCTAATCAATAAGGTGTAGAAGTTTTGGCTGCCTCTGCTCTGATAAAACTCAGAACAATAGTTAATGCCACGTCTCTCAAACTGGGGTATCTGTAAGACACACCTAGAGGTTGGACTAAAGATGCAGATTGCCAGGAACCACCCTCAGAGATCAGAAGTATCTGTGGAGCTTCTTTTGCATTCTAATTCCTGGCCCAAGCTCTAGAGATTGTGATTCAGTAGTTCTAGGGTGGGTCCAAGATACCTGTGGTCCTTTAAATAAATCATTTTCCCTGGGTTTTCTGGAGATTTGGATTTGGGAGGACCAGGATAGGGTCCTAAACATTATTTTCAACAATCCCCCAAGGGATGCTTATGACCCTGTAAGGGTGACCCATATAACAGAAGCTTGTTGAAACTTGTTGCCAAATGACTTTCTTCTGTACCTCTCTACACAATCTCCAGAACACAGAATGTCCCTTTGAGACCTCATCTCTCTGACTTTTCCATTTAAGACTGTCATTGCTGAACACTCTTTTGCTCACTTGTTGTTTTAGAATGTTGTATTGGGGGTGTGTGTGTGTGTGCGCGTGGTGTGACGGGTGGACTGGCGGCTCACTCAACCTGACTTGCCTAGGCATTGGGAGCCCCACAGTGATTCCCACGGCCAGCTCCGCCCTTGTCACTTAACTCTTCCTGCCAGAAGTAGAGTGCTGAATACACCCAGCCATTTGAATATTCTGGCTAATTGAGATTTTTAAAGACTACAGTGACTTCACATTTTGTTTCCTACCACTTAAAGTTAACAGTGACTTTTTTTTTTTTTTTTTTAGATGGAGTCTCGCTCTGTCACTCATGCTGGAGTGCAGTGGTGTGACCTCGGCTCACTGCAACCTCTGCCTCCCAGGTTCAAGCAATTCTCCTGCCTCAGCCTCCCTAGTAGCTGGGATTACAGGCATGCACCACCATGCCTGGCTAATTTTTGTATTTTTAGTAGAGACAGGGTTTCACCATGTTGGTCAGGCTGGTCTTGAACTCCTGACCTCAGACCATCCACCCGCCTCAGCCTCCCAAAGTGCTGAGATTACAGGCATGAACCACCATGCCCGGCCTAAACAATGATTTAAAAACAAAACAAACAAACAAAAAAAAACACAAGTGAACAAAAAAACCCAGATGTTAAAAATATGATGCCCAAATCAAAACCAAAATTTATACAACCATATAAAATAATTAAACATGTCATTTATTCACCAGTAAAATGATTATGATTTAATGCAGAGCCAAACTCTGACCACCGATGCTGAATATTTATGACTGGCTCCCTCAGAACACAGAGGTAGCTGCAGAAATATGCTCTTATTCTACCCTACCTCCACGTGATGAATGATTATTTTACTTAGTAACAGAGTGAGTGAGACCGAATTTGAAAATGCGTCAGAGGTGAGGCCCAGTAAAAGTATATTTATAAATAGGGGTTATTGTAATCAGCTCTAAGTGGGCTTAAAATAGAAATTTAAACAGTAAATTGTTAAAAAAAAAAAAACCCAATACAATCTTTACTAATCAAGAAAAGCACTCAATTTGCTGGCACTTTAAAGTGCATTCTGAAAATCTATTAACACAGCCAGACTTTTAAAAAAAGACCCCTAGCTCCCTTATTTAAACTTGTGAAAAGAAGGAAAAAAACACAAAGGTGAAACATAATAGGCACTGCATAATGATCACAAGGATGGAACAGCAAAGAAAATGAAAAAGGAATTTATGATGATTACCCCGTGAAAACTCTCTGAAGCACATAAAGCTTTTTAATCACCTAAACTAGCTATCATTGTTCATAATCATTCTCACGTTTGTATAGCACGTGACAGAGGGCTTTGTGGTTAAGAGAGTCTGAGACTTAGAGCCAGACATCCTAAGTTCAAATGCTGGCTCTGCTACTTACTGACCACCTGCACTCAAGTAAATTACACAACCTCTTAGTGCCTCACTTTTCTCATCTGCAAAATGGGGGCACCAACTACTGAAAAGGTTATTCTAAAAATTAAATGAGATAATACGTGTAGAGCACTTAATATAATGCCTAGCACATAACACACACAATAAGTGGTACCTCTGACTATTATTATTATTCTATGATCATTTCAACAACCATATGAGGAAAGTGTTATCATCCTTGTTTTACAGATGAGGAAACTGAAGCTCTTGGGGTAACATGACTTGTGAAACTGCATGCTTCTCCTCAGTGGCAGGGCGGGGACTCTGGATGGAGGAACTGTCAAGACCTTCTAGATCTCTGACATGCATAAACTGGCACGTTTAGAGAATAACGAGGAAAACAAAGTAAAACAAAAGACGGTACCTGTGTGCTAAGAATTTATTACCCCCACATCAAAAAACGTATCCACCACGATCAAGTCGGCTTCATCCCTGGGATGCAAGGCTGACTCAGCATATGCAAATCAATAAATGTAATCCATCACATAAACAGAACCAGAGACAAAAACCACATGGTTATCTCAATAGATGCAGAAAAGGCCTTTGATAAAATTCAACATCCCTTCATGTTAAAAACTCAATAAACTAGATATTGATGGAACATATCTCAAAATAAAAGAGCTATTTATGACAAACCCACAGCCAATATCATATTGAATGGGCAAAAGCTGGAAGCATTCCCTTTGAATACTAGTACAAGATAAGGATGCCTTATTCTCACCACTCTATTCAACCTAGTATTGAAGTTCTGGCCAGGGCAATCAGGTAAGAGAAAGAAAAAAAAGCATATTCTAATAGGAAGAGAGGAAGTCAAATTGTCTCTGTTTGCAGACAACATGATTGTGTATTTAGAAAACCCCATCGTCTCACCCCAAAAACTCCTTAAGCTGTGAGAAACTTCAGCAAAGTCTCAGGGTACGAAATCAATGTGCAAAAATCACAAGCATTCCTTTACCTCAACAATAGACAAGCAGGGAGCCAAATCATGAATAAACTCCCATTCACAATTGCTAGAAAGAGAGTAAAATACCTAGGAATACAGCTAACAAGGGATGTGAAGGACCTTTTCAAGGAGAACTACAAACTACTGCTCAAGGAAATAAGAGAGGACACAAACAAATGGAAAAACATTCCATCCTCATGGATAGGAAGAATCAATATCATGAAAATGGCCATACTGTCCAATGTAATTTATAGATTCAATGCTATCTCCATCAAGCTACCATTGACATTCTTCACAGAATTAGAAAAAAACTACTTTAAATTTCCTATGGAATCAAAGAAGACCCTGTATAGCTAAGAAAAGCCTAAGGAAAAAGAACAAAGTTAGAGGCATCACACTACCTGACTTCAAATTATACTACAGGCTACAGTAACCAAAACAGCATGGTACTGGTACCAAAACAAACATATAGACCAACGGAACAGAACAGAGACCTCAGAAATAACACCACACATCTACAACCATCTGATCTTTGATAAACCTGACAAAAACAAGCAATAGGGAAAGGATCTCCTATTCATTAAATGTTGCTGGGAAAACTGTCTAGCCATATGCAGAAAACTGAAACTGGATCACCTTTCCTTATACCTTACACAAAAATTAACTCAGGATGAATTAAAGACTTAAATGTAAAACCCCAAACCATAAAAACCCTAGAAGAAAACCTAGGCAATAGCATTCAGGACATAGGCATGGGCAAAGACTTCATGATGAAAACGCCAAAAGCAATTGCAACAAAAGCCATAAGTGACAAATGGGATCTAATTAAACTAAAGAGTTTCTGCACAGCAAAACAAGCTATCAGTAGAGTGAACAGGCAGCCTACAGAATGGGAGAAAAATTTTGCGATCTATCCATCCGACAAAGGCCTAATATCCAGCATCTATAAGGGACTTAAACAAATTGACTAGAAAAAAATAACCCCATCAAAAGTGGGCAAAAAATATGAATAGACACGTCTCAAAAGAAGACATTTACATGGCCAAGAAACATGAAAAAAAGCTCAATATCACTGATCATTAGAGAAATGCAAATCAAAATCACAATAAGATACCATCTCACACCAGTCAGAATGGCGATTATTAAAAAGTCAAGAAACAATAGATGCTAGTGAGGCTGTGGAGAAATAGGAACACTTTTACACTGTTAGTGGGAATGCAAATTAGCTCCCACTAATTAAATGTAAAACTGGAACCAGAGACAAAAACCACATGGTTATTTCAATAGATGCAGAAAAAGGCCTTTGATAAAATTCAACATCGTTTCATGTTAAAAACTCAGAATTTGTGCCTGTGCCTGTTTCTTTCACTGTCATATCCTTCGTTCTTAGAACAGGAGCTGGCTCACAGTAGGTGCTCAGTAAATATTTGTGGACTGAAGGAAAATCTCAGGGCCCTTCTTGGTCAGGAGCTTGTACCATTAAGTCTCTACCTCCTCCCAACCCACCACGTGTGATGGGTTATTTAGCGCATTAGTTAATCCCTCCTCTCTTAATCAATTCCACATGTCCATATCTGCCTATTAATCAATTCCACATGTCCATATCTGCCATATCTGTACTGCTGGAAGACAGTACAGCAATTCCTTAAAGACCTAGAACCAGAAATAACATTTGACCCAGCAGCCCCATTACTGGGTATATATCCAAAGGAATATAAAACATTCTACTCTAAAGACACATGCACACATATGTTTATTGCAGCACTATTTACAATAGCAAAGACATGGAACCAACGCAAATGCCCATCAATGATAGACTGGATAAAGAAAATGTGGTACATATACACCATGGAATACTATGCAGCCATAAAAAAGGATAAGTTCATGTCCTTTGCAGGGTCATGGATGAAGCTGGAAACTATCATTCTCAGCAAACTATCACAAGAACAGAAAACCAAACACCGCATGTTCTCACTCATAGGTGGGAAGCTGAACAATGAGAACACATGGACACAGGGAGGGGAACAGCACACATCAGGGCCTGTTGAAGGGTGGGGGTGAGGGGAGGGAACTTTGAGGACGGGTCAATAGGTGCAGCAAACCACCATGGTACACGTATACCTGTGTAACAAACCTGCATGTTCTATATATGTATCCCAGAACTTAAAGTAAAATAAAATAAATAATAATAAAAAAAGAATTTATTACCCATGAAGGGATAGGATGTATATTACTTCATGCTATATTGCTTAGTAGAGGACTGGGTACACTTGTGACTTTTCCTTTGGACTCATCAGCATCCTCCTTGCAAAGTCCTGTCACACATGGCTTTAAGTAAAAATAATAATGATAAATAAAAAACCACCTACAAGAGGACAGCTCAGTGTGGTAGAGAGAGCTGCCCACGGCACCTAGGGTGTGGATATGAACCCTGACTCTTCCATGTACTAGTTTTAGGATCTTGAACAAGTTGCTTCACCCCTCTAAGCCTGAGTTTCTTCATCTATAATAGGGGATTAATAATAGTAAGGATGTTTTAAGAAATATCCTAAGGGTGATATAAGATAACACAGATAAATAGCCTAGTGCAGAGTTTCTCAGTCTCAGCGCTATTGACGTTTGGGGCTGGATAGTTGTTTGTTGGAGCAAGCTGGCCTGTGCACTGTAGGATATTTAGCAGCATCTCTAGCCTTAACCCACTAGATGCTCATATAATACCTTTCCAGTTGTGATAACCAAAAATGTTTGTAGACATTGCAAAGTGTCCCCTGGAGGGCAAAATCACCCTTGGTAGAGAACTGCTGACCTTGCCCAAAGCCTGGCACAAATGGATGGTCAATAAATGTTCATTCTTTCCCTCCTTTTAGATAGAAACTTTTTTTTAAAGTGAAGTGAGACACGACTAATTTAGAATCATGTTAATTCAGACAATGGGAGAACTGAAATCTGTATTTTCAGTAACATGAAAAAATTAAGTGTCCACAGTTATTTAGCGAACACTGTGTATTCACTTATGAAAACATACTATTTATAAGGACTTATGTGAAAGTCATTTACATTCAGTTAATATACTAAGTTCTCAAAGCCTCAGAAAACACATTTAAATCACCAACCATTTCAGGCAAATTTTAACTGGTAATTGTAGTTAAATATATTGAAATGGCAATTACATATTTTTAAAGAAACAAATAAACTCTTTCTGACTTTGTCCTCTTACGGCAGATTAACTTTCCTTTAAATAAGCAGCTTAATGAAGTTTTGTTTCACTCACATATCTAAAGTAGAAGATATTTTATAAATGTTGCATTGAGATTTTCTAGTTTCTTACAAACTTTTTAAGCAGGAAATTCTTTTCCATAGCGAACCTAACGTCTCCCTGCTGCTTTTTTAGCCTGTTTCCTATTGTTCAAGCTTCATGGAAAATGAGACCAGATGTTCATAAGAAGAGCCTCATTGCCTCATTCTTGTGTACCTGGAGATTGTAAGTAACACCAGGCCTGGCCTGGGACTTCCTCATCTGGACCAATGATTCTCAACAGGGGGGTGATTGTCATCCCAGGGGACACCTGGCACTGTCTGGAGACACTTTTGGTTGTTGAAACTGGGGAGAGAAGGGTTGCTGGCATCCAGTGCGTGGAGGCCAGGCAATGCTGCTAAGCGTCCTGTAACACACAGGGCAGCCCCTGTAACCAGAAATTATTATCCAGGTTCAGGTGTCAAGGTTAAAAAATCCTGCTCTAGACCATGGCTCTGAGATGAATTGGGCAGATGGACAATGAATTAACTGTTTAAAAAAAGTGAAGTCAATCAAACCCTACTTGTCTGGCTTTGAGATAGACACCTGTTGCATTCTTCAGGAAGTTTCTTCTAAGCTGACCTTTGTGCATATTCCCATCACAGCACTTGTATCACCAGCACAATGCTGGCGCACCGTGGACATGTAATAAAAGGCAGGTGAATAAAAGTACAACTATGAGACCCAACAATGAATCTCCAGGGTTCCCTTAACCTCCCTCTCTGGACACATCAATGTAAGCTCTGACGGACTGAGAGGGACTTCTCTTTGTGAGAAGAAAGGAAGTGTGTGTGAAGGAGCTGGGTTTGCTTGTCTCACCCTTCCGCTGTCTACACCAGGAGTTGAAGTTTATTTTCCTTCTTTGCCTCACACTGACAGGGATAGAGGCAATAGATTTGGTTTCATTTACCATTTCACTTAGTCGCCTGAAATGTAAAAACCGCACAAACAGATCTGATTCCATACTTTCCACACTCCTTCTTGTGGTGCTGCTAAGTGGAGCTGTTAAAACAAACAGGAGAAATGTGGAGGTCAGGGTTCTGCTACCTACTTGTAGTCTACTTAGCTGTTGGTGCCTCTGTCTCCCACTCTCTCCAGACCTCTCCCCATCCCTACTTGCACCTCTTGAGAGCAGGACCTTCTTTTCCTCATCGCCTGAATACAGGAAGTGTTACAGTTATTAATGGGGACCAGCTCTTAATGTTTGGCCAATAACTATATAGCATACACCTAAAAGCAGGGTCTGTAACAAGTTGAAAGGAGATGACAATTAATCGTAAAGCATTACCCAAGCAATTTCTAGGATGCCTTTTTACTCCTCGATTCTGCCAAACATGCTTCTGTCACAAAGCTTTTAGATTAGCCGTCCCGTTTGCCTGGAATTATCTGTCTCTCTTTCTCAGATAAACTCATGGCTCATTCTCTCACTTCATTCAAGCCTTTGCCCAAATGTCACCTTATCAGAGAGGCCCCCCCTAATCAACCCATGTAAAGTAGCAACCCTCTACCACATCACTCTCTTTCTTCTCATTGTGATTTCTGTTTCTTCTTAAGCAATTGTTCTTTCCTGGCATCCTTGAGTTCCCGCTCAAGAATGTAAGCTCCAAAGCAATAGAGCAGAATTTGTGCCTGTTTCTTTCACTGTCATATCCTTCGTTCTTAGAACAGGAGCTGGCTCACAGTAGGTGCTCAGTAAATATTTGTGGACTGAA